TAATGTTAAATTTCATGCATGCTTTTGTTAAATTTGCTGGTACATTTTGAAGAGAGTCAATTTGTTCATAAATGACATAGTTCATAAATTTCTCATGGTCTGCTAAATCAAATTTACTTTTGTGTGACCTTACATCTGAGGCACCGATCGTAAATTTGTTTGGCATATTAAGAATTTTGAATAAAAAATTTATTGCTACTGTAAAAGAATGTTCACCTGATGTTTACCTTGCTAATCAATGTCTTATAGTATTGTAATGACTTGCAAGATTTTTCATAATGTGATGTTGCATATGTTTTACTCTTCTTTGTTATCAAATAAATAAAAAGAGCCTATTCCTAATCACATATTTCTTCTTTTAAAGAATTATATTCTTTTAAAGAAGAATTTCTTTACATATTTCTTCTCTTTTTCTTTCCCCCTTTTTTGGTAAGAGTTTTATGTATCATGATGCGATATTTGGGAATTTGTTTTTAGAGTACATAACAGTACTTTTTTGAGGTATTAATAGAACCAGTGTATTTTATTTATTTACTTATTGCTTTAAAACAAGCTGTAATTTGAGGCCTTTTTTCCTCTCCTTTCCATATGCACATAAAGCTTACTTAAGCTATATTTTTAACATATAAATGAGATATATGTAAATGAAATAAGTCTCTTATATTAGCTACTTTACTAAAAAAAAGAACTAAACTAAAATGATATACCTTGAAAACTTTTTGAGTTATTTTTTTAAGTATTTAAAAAACATACTTTATCTACTAACACGTATTCTAATTTTTTATTTTTTTAGTATTTAATATTTTCTTGTTTCCTCAGTACATTTTCATTCAACATCGTCTTTTTCACATTTGCAAATTCCAATAACATATTACTTGAACATCTGCTTCTTGTTTTGTCCAAACACATGAATCATTCTGTTGAACACAAATAGATTCAGAGTCTCAAGCAAACAACCCACAACAGAGTTATTAAGTTTGCCTTACATGTAAAACTTGCATTTCAATTTAGGAATTCATAATTAAATAATATAGGTTTAGCCTCAATTTTTTAGTCATTCAAATTATACATAAATTATTGGAATATATCAGATTGTGCTGCAAGATATTGCTGTTAATGAAAACTATAAATAATCTAATTTCTATTCTGAGATCTGTTAAAAATATGTAGATATTTTTAAGTAACCAAAAAGTGTATAAACCTGATCTAAATTCACTGACCTAAACCAAAAATTTGTGTATGAATCAGGCAGATTTTTCCCTTAAATGATAAACTGTAAATAATAATAATAATAAACAAATTTTGTACATCTTAGATTAAAAAACTTAAAACTGCCTAAAGAACTTCAAATGAACAAGATTACACAAAATTTAGTTATTTAATGATCCTAAATTTCTTGAAAGAAAAGTCATGGTGAAAATGAATGACAGCAATCTAAATAATAATACATAAATATGCATGTGTGTGATGTCTATAAAATAGTATCTTTCATGGTGTTTTTCCATGAATAACTAATGAACTAATAAACTGCCTTTCACTAGTGAGCTCTAGAATTCAGTATCCCATTTTGGTTCTTGAACTCTAGAGTCAAAAGGAAAAATAGTTCTTTCTGACAGAATTTGAATTTACGATATGGCAGCACAAGCTTGATTAAGAAATAGTGCTGTAGAAGTAACGAGAAATTGTGTACCCGTATGTATTCGTTACTCGGTGAACCAGTACTCGTTACTATCGTATCGTTACTCGTTACTTTCGGTAAAATCCATCGGTATTCGTATCCTGAGCCTATTTTATCGGTATACGGCCCTATGCGATAGGAGTTTTACGTCGTATTTTTGGATGGAAATAATTCACCTCTTTTGTTGGTGTCAAAAGTCAGAAAGTCAGAAGCGCCTACGGAAGGCCGTCAGGAAAAAATAAAAAATAAATAAATAAAATAAATATTACAATAATAACATTAATTAGTAATTAAAATAATAAAAAATTACTTATTAAAAAACTTAATTAATTAAAATAATAAAAATAGTGATTAAAATAATGAATAATTAAAGTAACATAATAATTAGCAACTGAAATATAAAATACTTATAAGTAAAATTTAACAAAAATGTAAAGACAAATAAAAATTAAAATAATTCTTAAATTTATGATGAATAGTTAAATTATAAAGTAAAATACCAGACCTTGTCTTATTGGCTTAGTACCTTTTCGTCCTTTCTCATTTCATTCCAGCTCCAAAAAGTGTCATTTCGTTCGCTGCCTTCCCCCACCAATTCCCTCTTTCCCGTTTTATCCGCTGTTTGAAAAATAGGTGTTTACTTTACGATAAGACGAACGTCTGTTTACTTCAATTAAAATGGTTTAGAAGAGATGACTGTTTCTACTTCGACTTAGCTTTTGATTTCTAATACTATTTATTATTTTATGCAGACGAATTATGCTGAGCAGAAGAATGAATTTCAGACGTGTTCAGAAGGTGTTGTATCTAAATATAACAACATTTTTGTTATATAGTATCCATTTTTTTAATTTCACACATTTCTAAAGCAACAGAACCACGGTATCACTATTTTGGCACACACACACACATACACACACACCAAAAACATGTATAATTAACATTAATGTTACATTCTTTATTAAAAGCAATGGCTCCTCTTTAAATGCAACCATTCATGCTTTTTAGAGGATTTTACATGTCGTGGTCTTAAAAAGGGGATGTTCACTATCCAATGTTTGTTTATGTTCACAAAAATACAGATCTCTTAGAAAGTGACCTCTTAGAGATGTCGTAATTAGATGATTTGCTATAATTATTTTCTAATAGATAACGGAATTAACGTAATTTAATGTCAATAACTCGAAGAAGCAAGTTTTAAATACGGTGCAACAAAAATACAGAAGTATTTTAAATGAGGAAAATATTCATATTTTGTCAATGTCAAATTTTAAAAAGAATTAATTTTGGACAAATTATGAAATCTAACTTTTAATGTTGTCTTCTGGTTCCTATATTTATAGCTAACAAAGTTTTATACTCGTTATGAAAAAAATAAAAATACAAGAAGTTTGAGTATCGTAGACAGAGATTGACCGGGAAATTTAATTTCAAAATTTGCAGTGTTTGATGCCATTTGTAACTTGCCTTCGGGTATCGCTTAATTAAGTTAGAATAATTCGAGGAAATAAGTTTAAATGAAGTGCAGCAAAAATAAGCATAATTTAAAAAGTTATGCGGTATCCATATCAAATTTCACTTTTCATAATGACAATAAAACTTTTCCAAATACAAATAAAGAAGCTGGGTTGGTGTTGGTATATTTAATTATGGCAAAGCACACTAGGGCTATCTGCCTAAAGGGGGGATGCCTTCGTGGAGGACTTTCTAAGGGAAATGGCTGATATACACTTTACACATGAGGAAAATCACGAAAACACCCATCCAGCCAGTCCGTTCGCGGTATTCGAACCTCGGACCGAGCTACCAGTGTTCAACGACGTTACCGCTGGACCGCTGGTGGGCTAAAGAAACTAGGAGACGGCATTAAAGATTAGATTTCGTTATTTGTCGGTTATTCGTTACTTCGTTTGCTGCTTCTCCCCATTCCTTTCATCAGAACCGCTAATGGCGAAAGGGTGAATTTCTAGTAAAGCATGTATATTAATGTTCATTATACATTTGTCACATTTTTGCTTTCTTTCAAAACAGCGATAATGTGGTTTAAACAGCGATAATATTGCTTTATAAATTAATAAAATGGGCCCTATGTTATAAAAACCTAATTATATTCAGATACACACCTTTTGCACATGTTTGAAATCCATTATTCTAATCAGAACGTCTACAGAAAATATTGAATCAATATTAGAAATCAAAAGCTAAGTGAGAATGAAGTAGTAAGAGTCATATCGTCTAACCTGTTTTAATTGAAGAAAACAGGTGCTTGCTTTATCGTAAAGTGAACACCTATTTTGCAAACAGCTAAGAGCCCACCAGCGCTCGAGCGGTAAAGTCGCTGAAGATTAATAGTTCGTTCCGGAGTTCCATTACCGGCTAACGGCTGGCTGCACGGGCGTTTTCGTGTCTTTCCTCATGTGTAACTTGCATATGAGCTAATTTCCCTTAAAAAGTCCTCCACGAAGGCATCCCTTTCCTTAGGCAATAGCCCTAGTGTGCATTGCCGTAACCAAATAATCCGAAACCGAAAAAAAAAGGGAATTGGTGGGGGAAGGCAGCGACGAAACGTCGTTTTAGAAGAATAGGCTACATAACCAAATTTCTATCTATACTCTGGTAAAATAATAAAAGCCAAGTAACTTACTTAGTGATAAATAAATAAAATAAAAACCAAGGCTTTTATTTTCGCCTTACTTGGCTTTTATTTTATATTTATATATATATGTGTGTACTTTACATTTAATTATAAGGATATATATATATATGTACTTTACATTTAATTATAATTTCTTTAAAATATACATATTTACGTTTTGTAGTATTACCGATTGCAACAAAAAGGAAGGTGCACATCTAGATGTTATAACGGGCCCATATACAAAATTTCAACGTTCTAGAACTAATCGTTTTTGAGTTATGCGAAATGCACATATATTTGTCTTACACATCACGAAAAAATCCCTTTCAAGTATCAACTTAATGTGAAAAGCAAATACAAAATAACGCTTCACGCTATCAAAATTGATCATTTTCTTAAATATCAACGAAACAATATTTCAACTAAAACACATAATGTAAACAAGAGTTTGCCCGATGAGTTAACCAAAAAAATTCGAAATTATCAATGAAAAATGTGGCACACGGGTATTGTTAGCAAATGTATCATTCGTATTCGAACAGCAACCGCATCATTCCTATTCGCATAGCAACCGCCAATCGTACTCGAATAAGCCGCATCATACGACAGATACGAGTAACGAAATGAATTTGTGAGTACCGAATCGGTACTTCGAGTCAACCGATGTACCCGTTACTCGGTAACGAATACATGCGATTTGCTCCAGCTCTATTAAGAAATCGTAAACATTGATGTTGAAACTCATGTGCATTGTGCAATCGCAGTATTTTTTTCTGAAGTATTCAGTATGGATATGTTACCTGGTATTTGCACTTTGCTTGAAGAAGTCGATAAAAAGATTATGGTCGAACTGAGAGATGGTCGTGTATTAATTGGTTTTTTACGTAGTTTTGATCAGTTCGCCAATTTAGTTCTTCATCAAACTGTCGAGAGAATTCATGTTGACACCCATTATGGAGAATTACCTTTAGGTGTTTATATTGTCAGAGGTGATAACATAGTTTTGCTTGGAGAATTCGACGAAGATAAAGATAAGAATTCAAAACTCGTTCGGGTTTCATTTGAAGAAATATTCGATGCTCAAATACGTGAACAAAAAGCTAAACAAGAGAAAGAAAAGATGCGCATGAAAGCTCTAAAAGAAAGGGGCTTTAGTTACCACTTTGATACTACTCATGAAGACTTTTAGAAAAGTTTTACATGCTTTATGTATATATAATTTTATGCTATATAATTGAATCTTCTTTTTTTACGGCTTTTAAATGTATGATCTATTTCCGTACTTGAAAAATGTTATCATTTGGATTTTAATTGTATTAAAAATTTTCCAAACTTTGTACTTTCATTGAAAAAGGATGGTAAGTGCCAAAAGTACGTAAAATTTTTTGGTCCTGTATAGAATTGCTGAGTCTACCAAGGAATAGGAACGTATTTTTGTCTCTTTTACTGCTATAGAAATATATTTTTCTTCGTTACCTCTCACTTGTAAAACTATAGTTTAATTTACAAAACTGCAATTTTATTGCGAATTCAAATTATCAACTAATTTGTTTTTATTATCATTACAAATATTAAATATGAGCATTTAACATACAGCTGCAAGTTTTTAAAAATTCTGTCTGCTATTCTTTTATATTTAGAATTGTTCCCTTCTATTATCAACTGAAGGCTGATTGTTTATAGTTTCAAAAATGTTATGTATTATCAGGTTAATAAGTGTGTTAGTATGTCATTCTTTTTATACTAAATGAAGATTAAAACATTTTAAATATTATAAGTATCTTAAACTATTATTTATTACAATTTTTTTGTGAAAGAATCGGTTATATATACAAATGCAGTGCATATACTGATCCAAGAGTAAACTCATGCCACAGTTCCGGACTACTTTTCTAAACATCAGTAACTAAGTGAAGCCTACTCCTTTATATGCAGTTTTTAAAACCTAGAAATGATTTCTTAAATTCTTGGGTTAAAGTAGACTGAAGGCTACCCTTGTATTATCGCGAAGTTGTTTCATTTATCATGAAGTTGTTGCTTCGTTTATCGCCAAGTTGTTTTATTTATCACCAAGTTGTTGCTTCGTTTATCGCCAAGTTGTTGTTATATTTATGGTTACCTGAGTAGTAGAATGTACTGTAAATATACTTTTAGCTTGAATTGAGTGCTCCTTTGACTTTTTAAGTGAAATTGATGAGTTATATTGATGAGTACATGGACAAAGTCAAGGGAGTGTGCAATGCCAAGTTTGTGCAATTCTCGGATGCTTTTTAAGTGAAAATAGGTCGGCGTGTACATGGATAAAGGAGGGAAGTGCAGAATCACCCAGTGCTTGTCGTGTTTTTGATAATTGCACAAACTCTGTATTCATGTACACACTGACCTATTTTCACTTAAAAAAAAATCAGAGAATTGCACAAACTCAGCATTGGGCACTCCCTTTGTCCATGTACACATCGATGTATTTTCACTTAAAAAGTCAAAGCAAATTGACAAAAATCCAATTCCTGTTACTCTTGTAAAAAGCACCAAACATAACATGCCAAATAAATGGGTGGATCTGCACTTCAGATAAAGTTAAGGAAGTGCACAGTGCCTAGTTTCTACAATTCTGTGATGCTTTTTTAAGTGAAAATAGGTCAATGTGTACACAGATAGCAAGTTTATGTTATTCTTTGACTTGTTATTTTGTCTTTGTGTAAAATTGCCGCTACACAAAGCCGAAATAACAAGTCAAAGAATTGCACAAACTGGGTATCCATGTACTGCGAATTTTTGCCAAGGAGTACCCATAAATATACTTTTACTTTTAAATGTAATTTTCCATTTAGTAAGGTGCTTTTAATTGCTTTACACTTTCCACGATAATTTTCATCTGAGTCATAAATTGAACCATTGAATGAAATCATATCTAATTTGAAAAATACATCGTTTGGTTTGGTTTATTTGATTATAGAAAAGTTCATGAAAGGCTATCGACTTGAGAGAAAGATGTCTTTATGGAGGACTGTCTAAGGAAAATTGGCACATATCCATGTTACACAGGGGGAAAACCACAAGTGCCTATATAGCCACCCCTTCACCTGGAATTGAACCTAGATCAAGCTATTAGTGTAGTGTGACTTTACCACTTAGCTGCTGGTGGGTGTTAAAAAATACATGTCTATTAGTTGAAAAAATTAGGAAATATTACAATATTATATGGTTCTCCTCTTTCCATACATTTTCAATCTTTAATATGCAATTCTGATTATATATATGTAAATATTAGTTTTTAAATATAATTGTTGTGTGTCCTTACAGGATTTACATTGCCCCTTCATAATTTACTTTGCTTTTATTAATTTAAAATTTATAAATGCATTAGAGAAAAATTTCTTAACAAATTTTGGGTACTTACCTATTCTGTGTCAATCACGAAATTGTCACCTAGCGGCACGCTTCTTCACCAGCTATGGATTGGGACATAACGATGCACTCATAACATCTGAGCTTTTGTTTGGTATAATCCTGATTCATTCTCTATAAGTCACACCTTTCATTTTTATATAAACAAGGATATAAATTAATTGTTATCGCTGTATTTTCTTTTATATTGAAAAAAAAAAGGGTTATTAAAATTATGGACCTGTCATCTACAGATAACAAGCAGTGGATTAATTTACAAGTTATGGAGTCCTACCATAAAAGCATGGATTAATGGACATGATATGGCTGACAAAACAGTTGACCATATTCAGGGAATAAAAACAATAATAAAATAATTGCCTGCAGGAAATTTATACTCGCAGGAAAGGGATCTATTCCTAAAATCAGGGCCGTGATAAAATAGCATAAAGTGATGAAAGCCATTTTATGAAAAGCAAAAACAAAACAATCTGAGGTTAATCTTTGGATTATGGTAACTTGGCAATTTTTTGGGTGAAAATTTGGCGACCAACCCTGCTACAGTAACCTGCTAGTTTTTTTTTGGACGCCATTTTGTTTTCACGAAGTAAAGGCATGTTTTTTTTTTCTTTTTTTCTCAACATTTTTTTTCAACAATCTGCTAGCCGAATTACGCTTATGCTAGAACTTTTATGGAACAAAAGTGCTTAATCATGACGAAGATTAGGTGCGAAATTGGGAGAAAGTGGAGAATCGCAAACTGCTTGCCGCGTTTTTAAGAATTGCACGTACACGGTATCCATGTACACATCGACCTATTTTCACTAAAAAAAAAATCCCAGAATTGCACAAAAATGGCATTGTGCACATTCTTGACTTTATCCATGTACACTGCTAAAGTCCTAGCTAGTAACCTTTATCGCCTTACCAAAATGTCGCCAAACTACCTGTTACCATATTCCAAAGATTAGACCAATCTGAATATTGATTCTTTATTAAATAAATAAATTCCGTTCCTTCAGAATTCAGCAGAAACGAGTGGCACAATTTTAATAGGATCTATGCTAATTTTCATGATTTGATGGTAGCTAAATTTTAGAATCAATAGGAATTATCCTGTTGACTGGAAAATTTAGTACCAAAAATTTTTTCTTCTTCTCAGCTATGAAATTCATCTTCTTTTATATATAGCGAAAGGTGTGATTTTATCATGGTCCTGAATTGATTTTTATAAAACCCAAAGATCAAAAACCCGTAATGATTCTTGTTAAATTCCATTCCTAAAATAGTTTACTTAACATCTAAACATGTCTTAAATTATAAATTAAATTTGTTAGGGACTATTGTAGATTTTTGTTAAAAATGGTGTTTCATCACATAATGCAAGGACAAGACATTACATGAGTAACAAAGAGGCTAGAATAGAGAGCACTGAAACTAGAATTAATTCATTTCCCTTAATGAAAATCCAAGTTCTTCAGAAATTCTTTTGTACATATTATAATTAACTTTTGTTAGGCATCATTTGAAAGTGAAAACTGAAAATAAATTGTTAATATAATTGATGCCCATTAGTTGTAATTATTAAAAGGTATTTAAAATTCTGTGGGATGAAATTGTATTAATTCTATTTATGATTAGTTTTGTACATACATGTTTATTAATACCGAGTACATTAATAATAGTTAATTAAAATGGATTAATTTGATATGTAACATAAATGGTATGCATACATTGGTAAGCAAAGATGCATCAGATTTTCATCTGTTGTGTCGAGTGGTCTGAATATTGTAATTGTATTATATACCAATTGTTCTCAATGTGTGAGTTGCAGAAATTGTTGAAGCCCTATTTGTTTTATTTCATAATTATTATATTTATTTATAATTCTTAATTATACAACCAGTGCTTACCATAGTGATCATTCCATTACAATGACTGGATAAAAAAAGAAAAAGCAGAAAAAAATGAAGTGATAATGAGAGTAAATTAAATCCACTTTTGTTGTAGTAATCCAATGCTCTTTTTCTGCAGGATGCAAAGGGTCATTATTGGAAGTTTCAGTTGTACATAATTATTTATTCTTATTTCATTATTACTAAGCACCTTCAAGAACAGTTCAAGGTGTTTATTATTTTCAGTTTGCAAACAATAACCAATATTAGAATGTTGTGAAGTTATGAGTTGTCCTGAAAGGGACAGCAACTGTTGAAATATCCTGAGCCCTAAATATAAATTATTTCAGCATTTGTTATCTGTGTTACTGATATAAGAGCAACTGTATTGCAAAGACCGGTAAATAGTGGTCATAACTGTTTTCTGTATCAATAAATACATGGGTATAGGTCAGTTACTTCAGCATTTGTTATCTGTGTTACTGATATAAGAGCAACTGTATTGCAAAGACCGGTAAATAGTGGTCATAACTGTTTTCTGTATCAATAAATACATGGGTATAGGTCAGTTACTGTGGGGTCAGTTTGCTTTTAATTTTGCAGTGTTGGCATAAAGAAGGGCAATTGTGCAAATTATTTACACATGGCTATTTACCAGTCAACTATATACAAAAAAATCAGTGATGTGCATTTTTTCTCACAGAAGGACCTATTTAAAATGGTCTCGAAATCTCTTCAGTTATGTACCACAGATGGTACAGTGTTCTTTAGAAATGAGCCATGGTTTTTCAGGCTGATTTCTGATACTTAGCAATCTGGGAGAACATCCAGAACCCATAATAATTTGAATAACATTTATAAAATATGTGTGTACAGAGCGAGTATAAGCAGCAGTCTGAGAGTTTGAACTGTGCAGTTTTCCTCATATAATATTGGGCCCACCAGCAGCCAAGCGGTAAAGTCGCTGAACACTGGTAGTTTGGTCTGAGGTTCAAATCCCGCGAATGGGCTGGCTGCATGGGCGTTTTCAGGGTTTTCCCCATGTGTAATGCATATA